TGGTTTGGATTGGCAGAGACCTTAAAGGCCATCGCATTCCATCCCCCTGCCATCATGGCCAGGGACACCTTCCATTAGACAAGGTTGCTTCAAGCTTTGTCCAGTGTTTTCTTTACTGTCGTAAAAACCACATGTAGCACACGTAACACACATGTGGAGCGAGATGTGACAGCTGCAGTTTCCTCCTCTCCCACTCGCAGGTTTGTTGCATGTGCACCAGGTCTTGACAAAACTGAATTTTCAGGCTGTACTCTCTATTTCAAGCAGAATTCTGTGTAGTTTCCCTGGTGAAGTATGTGCTTTTCACACACATTATGAAATAGGGAGGAACGCGTTTTAAAAAAAACCCACCGCACTGTTGCTGAAATAGTTTTTTGCATATTTTTAGCAGAAGTTTGTGTCTTATCATTGTCTCCAGCTCTTGCTGGAGCAGCAGTGTTCAGTGAAGCCACACATTTTTATGTAGAAAGGTCAAGACAGTTTGTCCCACCCGTTATCTGGTTTTGGGCATCTCTGCAAGACAGTTTGTGTTTCCAAGAACTGAATGGATAGTCCTTTTTCTTCTCTCTCTGAAAGACTAAGCCACTGGGAATTAAGTAAGTTATAACATAAGCCACAAATCATTTTTCCAGGCTTGGAAACAGGGATGAGTTAGATTTTTTTCAAAGAATCACAGACTGATTTGAGTTGGAAGGAACATTAAAACTTATCCCATCCCACCCCCTGCCATGGGCAGGGACACCTCCCACTATCCCAGGTTGCTCCAAGCCCCATCCAAACTGGCCTTGGACACTTCCAGGGGTCCAGGGGCAGTCACAGCTTCTTTGGGCAACCTGTGCCAGGGCCTCATCACCCTTGCAGGCAGGAATTTCTTCCTGATTTGTAATGAACCGTTCCTTCCTTCAGCATAGGTTCAGTTTACTATCACTAAACTTACTGGATACCTAAATAAGAGAGACTGAAGTAGGCTGACAGGTAGGAAAGGGTGACAGACACATGTCTAAACATGCCTGTTTTATTGAGCCTCTGTAACTCATCATGGAACAGCCCGAGTGAGCAGCACTGTCATTTACAGGGAACTCAGGTGCCATCACTTAATGAGAACCTTCCAGATCACAGGTGCTGTAAGGAAGGGATTTAGCTTTCTCTCGAGGAATGAAGACTTTCTCAACAGGGACTTGTTGCAATGTGTTGAGCTACTCTAAAATCTTTTAGATAAATCTCTGTGTGTCTGTGCAGGCTGGAAAATGAGGATAGTTTGTCTTAGATTGGGATTGTCTTCTGATGTCTACAAGAGTAGAACCCATGGAGCTGTGGGGGGATGAAACTTGAGTTTAGCCATCATCTGCTCACCAGATAATTAGTGCAGGGTGGATGGGGCTTGGAGCAGCCTGGTGTAGTGGAAGGTGTCCCTGCAAATGCCAAGGGGTTGGAATGAGGTGAGTTTGAGGTCCCTTCAGCTCAAAGCATTCCATGATTTTATGATTGAATCATATATGTTGGAAACAGGGTGAGCAATGAGCACTTGCACTCCTTTTAAGTCTCTTTCGTGGATTTTGATGCAGGAAAGAGGGACGAGTATGTATGAATTACACCAAGCCCACAGCAATATTGTGTGTTCCCCACAGCTGTGCCCTTGGCCAGAAAGAAGGATAAGCATTGAGATTGGGAGGCTTGAGGATTGGGGGGCTGTAAGGTCATCTCAGGTGTACAGCAGGTTCAGGGGTTCCCCTGCACTGGTTTGCTTTGACATTTGGTGTTCAGAGTTGCTGATGCCTTTTGACAGAAGATCTGTGGAGCTCCCTCTTCATCACTAAAGCACTGACATTCCTGAGGAGGTCCAGGTCCTCCCTCGGGGGCTGCTCTGGTTCAGATGAGGTGGGATGTTGGCAGTGGGAAGTCACCCCGTAGTGCAGGTGTCCTCAGCAGGGCAAAGCCTGTTTTCTGCTGTGGAAATATTTAACACCTTTCTCTTCAGGTTGCTTCCTGTTGCCAAAGCCTTTTTATCTGCAGGATGTTCTTCAGCTTAAAAATGCTTAGCTCTAAATACATATTTGTACTCTTTTCTGATGAGATTGTTACTCTGAAATCTCTCACTGGGATCATATCTGAGTTTTGTTGTAGTTTGCTTGTTTCCATAGTAGTTTGCGTCCTTCCCCACTCCAGACTTGTGAAGACCCTGCCTTTTACAGAAGAGACAGCCTTTTACAGGCATCAAGCCTTCAGCCTCTACGAAAGAAAGCCCCCCAGGTGAAGTATTTACAATGTGGCAGTTCAGAGCAGAAGGTTAACAACACTGCTTGAGTGCTCATACAGTATCAGAGCATCTTTCTCCAGCATCCAGGGAGCTCCCGAGGCACCTGCAGGCTCAGCAGAATCGCCTTATGGAATACCAAGGGAAAGAAATTAATTTAAATAAAAACCTGCTTCTGGTTTGGTTGTGGGTAGTGCTTTCTCCAAGGAATGGGTTGAAAACAAAACACCACTTGGCACCCATCTCCTTGCAGGAAAAGTCCTTTTCTTGTACAATCACAGCATCACAGACTGGCTTGGGTTGGAAGGTTTAAAAACTGTCTCGTTCCACCCCCTTGCCATGGACAACCTCTCAGTTATGTTACTTACAAATCTCTACTTTTGATAGTGAATGTAGGGGAAATAATTTCTGAGCATAAAACTCAGGGAGGGAGCCAGCCAGGAGCCCACGCATTGGAGCAGAGCACTTGGGTCGCACAGCAAGATGTTTGCTATACCCAGTGAGTTATTGGTGCTGGCAGCTATGAAATGTTTATTGGGAAAAGAAGGGCTCCCATGTGCCTGTCTCTGCGTCCGCAGTGCTGCCGAGGGGATCTGGCTGAGCTGCAGTGTGGTTCTCGAGGGATGGAAGAAAGGCAAGGCGATGTTTGCTCATCACCAGCCAGACCCACCTTCCTGCGGTGGGAAAGGTCCATGACTGCTTTGAAATGTAAACAAGTCAACAAATCTTGTTCCAAGTTGTTGGTGTTTAAAGAGAGAAAAGTATATCCAGAGGAAACTTTCTTTTGTGGCCTGTCCCTAGGGCTTCCTGTAGCCGATAAGAGCTGATCCTTAGCTGTGCCCTCCCCACCAACGTCATCTCCAAAGCTTTGGTTCTGCCTTTTTGGTTTGAAGAGCAACTCGTCCAGTGTTGTGTGTTTTGATAACGACTCCTACAAATGTATTTATTCAAAACAAGCACAGTGGGAAGCAACTACAAAGAGGCTACTCCAACAGCTAGTGCCAGAGGGAGCTGGCTGCTCGTGCGTGATTGTAGTGGGACAGGCTCGCAGAACATCCCTTTCATTCCATGTGTGCTGGGGCGTTGGGAGCTTTGCCCTGGGCATTGCCATAGTGGGTTTGGGGTGATGGGTGTTTGGCTGAACAGGATCCTTGGCCTCTTCACTGCCTTGTGGCATCTCCAGGAATTCTTGGAGAGTTGACAAAAGCAGAAATTGGCTGTGTGGTGGCTGGGATTCTCTGCAGTAGGAGCCGTGGGTTGCTAACGGGGCCAGCAGCATCTGTGGCAAGGGATTACAGGAGGAAGGGGAGCAGAAGTAAGCTGCAAGGACAGGTCACACATATGTTGCCATCTGCAAACTGATTGCAGACATATCTGGGCCCATCTGGGTTTGGGCATTCTCTTTGCCTTGTAGCATCCCTGGTCCATCAGGTGCTCATGATGCAGGTTCTCTGCTTAGGTGCCTGTTTTTTCAGTGCAGGTTGGAAGCTGCTGTTTCAGTGGCCTCTGCCACTCCATTGGGTTTGGAAATACCCAGAGCAGCTCACAGAGGGGAGATGGTGAGTGGAGAGTAATTCTGTCTTCTGCTTCTGCAGGAGACCATGCTAAATGAGCCGTGTAGGTCATCCCCAAGGCTGGCTGGTGGGGCTGACTCCAAGTGAAAAAACCCAACAAGAACCCCAAACCAAACCCTGTAACCTGAGGAAATTTGTGTTGCTGCAGAAACAAATTCAGGGAAGGTCTGTGATGCTGTGCTGATTTAACTATAGCATTAGAAATAATATGAAATGTTTGCATTAAATGCATGGGGAGAGTCCTTTGAAGAGCTGGGAGGATTTTTCTACTTCAAGCACTCTGGTTCTTTTAGCAGTCAGGATGAGTTAAATTAAAGTTGATGAATGCAATAATACGTAGGAGGATGATATCTTGGAATGTTTCTTAATTTTTAGTGCATTTTGAGCAAATGTTTATACAGTGAGGCTCAAGCTGGGGAATTGAGGCGTATTGGATTATGTGCTATTTGCTCAGTGTAAGCAATGGCAATTTATTGCTGCAGATACATGTGATGTGGTGTGCAAAGATTAGTTCTATCCCCTCTCAAACATGATTATTTTGGGTCTTCTTTATACCTTAAATAGATATTCTTCTCATGTGATTTCCATCTTTTTGTGTCAACAGCCCAATCTAAAGTTGAAATAAATATTACATCAGCGTAATAGCACAAGCTTTGAAGGAAATCTGCTCTCCATTATGGGATGTTGTTTGGAAACCTTTTCATTTGACATTTTTCCAGTGTGCAGTGCAAACATCCTATGGATCCCAAAGCCCTGCTGGGCTCCACTGGATTCTTCTGATGCAGAATGGCGTAATTGCTCAGCACTGGTGGGTCCTGTCCCCAGCAGTGTGGTTTACTGTGTTTTAGATCATAGATTCCCAGAATGGTTTAGGTTGGAAGGGTCCTTAAAGACTAATCTTCAAAGCAAACTGTAGCAAAAGGAATGACTTTGCTTTTGCTGGCTTTGTAGGCTGAAGTTTCTTCCAGGAAGTCAGGTTTCCATCCCATTACAGGCCATTCACTTCAGAGTAGGACTTGATAATCCCTGTGGATCCTTTCCACTCTGGTTCTGTGACAGGGTGGTGTGACTGGTGAACATGGAGTGTCTGTGCTTGTGGTTGCTTTGAATAGCTCAGTCAGGCATGGGTATTGGAAACCTCTTGATTGAGCCCTTCTGCTCCTCTCATACAGCATCATCATGACAACAGAAAAGAGCCCAGCAGCCGACACTGACAGCTCGGAGCAGCGACAAGCCAAGGAGGAGGAAAGAGCTGCTGAAACACAGAAGCCAGAGGCTTCCCTGGAGGAAGGGGCTCAGCCAACCCCGGAGAGACAGCCCCAGAGGCATAAGGCCTCCAACGGAGACACCCCCACCCACGAAGAGCACAGCAGGAAAGAACGACGCGCCTCTGAGGGCCGGGGGCTCTCCCGCCTCTTGTCCTCCTTCCTCAGAAGGCCCAAGTCTCAGGTATCTGAAGAGGACAAAGACACTTACGGTCCTAAAGAGGCGGGAGGTGACCAGAAAGACGCAGGATTAGGAGCCAGTCATGATGAAGACATCCTGGTGAAAGCCCCGATTGCAGCTCCTGAGCCTGAGCTCAAAACTGACCCATCGCTGGATCTCCATTCCTTGAGCAGTGCAGAAACACAGGTAAAACACCCCATTCTGTGAGACATGCTCCCTGCTGCTTTAAAATGTGTCTTTGTAGCCAGAACTATAACAACTTCTTATCCCAGACTGGTGAGCTTGACCAGAAAAGGTGTTGAGATGTCAAAAAGGCTCTTGTCAGCTCCCTGTGTTTCACTGTGTACTTCCCACTCTTGCATCCCTGCATCAGACCTGCAAAGTACCTGTTCTAGGAATTAGGGTCACACTCCACATAATTTAAAATGTCCTGTGCTAAATCACTGCACTTCTGAGGTATGGGATGTCACATCAGAACACAGAGGGTTCACATTCATTTTGGTGTGAGCAGGATCAAGTCAGGTCAGTGGCCCAAGGTGGAGATTGCAAGAGTACATGGATTTGGGAACTGGGTTCTTCAGTTTCAAGGAGTGCAAGCACGGCATTTTAGGACTTGCTCATCTGCTCGGTCCAGGCTAATGCTGAGCCTGCCAAATATAAATATTTTTTGCTTATGCATCATATAGAGAGGGATTTCTGCATGGCAGAAGGGGCTGAGCCCAACTCCTGGGACATGTCTGATGTCTGCTCTTTCCAGCCAGGGTCATTTTTCATGCAAAATTTAAAGTTTAAAAATTGAAAGTAGAAATTGAGGCAGAGACACCCCCAGGGAACATTCACTGAGCTGTGGCTGGTTATTGATTTGGGGGTGCTGGGTGTCCTCTCTTCCTTCTTGGGTGGTTACAGCTGTAGTGTTACTTGAGCCTGGAGTGGAAAATGGTGGATATGCCTTGTCCTTGGCTGGGAATTCCTGAAATCGCAACCAACCTGTGTGTATTGCTGGGGCCAGACAGGGTGAAATCTGGATTTCTTACCTGTTGCCTTAAGTTCGGAGTGGCTCCAGATAGCCACAAATGCTCAATTTTGGAGCAATACTTTATAGATTGAAGCATTGCCAGTAGACAATAGTTGTAAATCTACCTCCTTAAAATTACGAAGTTGTAGAGAGGGTAGTAGGTAACAGCTTTTCCCTTCTTTTCCCAAATTTCTGAGCCTCTGAAGACCAATCTCTGCTCATGTTTTGTACCTGTAACTGTTGGGATTAGCAGGATGGGGAAGATGTGGAGATCTTCAGGCAATTTCAGCCCAGAAATTGTATTATCAAGAGGAACTTGTTCTTAGAAGTTTAAGGCCAGGTTGAATGGGTCTTGGAGCAACATGATCTAGTGGAAGGTCAGATGGGCTTTAAGGTCTCTTCCAACACAAACCATTGTGGTTTTTTTAATGCATGATTTCTTTCTTTTTCTCTGATTTGCTGGTCCTGAACCCATGTCTAATTTGTACCCCAACCTTTCTTCATGGGCCGTTCATTTTAAACGACGCATTTGTGTCTTTTTTTTTAGTTCTTATTTTAGATCACTGTCAGTGGCTTTCTGAACTGTGACACTCGGCAGATATTTCTGCTATGAAAGCATTTGCGAGGTGCTGCAGTTTGATAAATGCTGACCGACAGGCATTAGGAGCTTTGACTGATTTCCTGCTCCCAATTGTCCCAGTTCTACTGGAACAGAAGTCAGCAGCTTGTGGACATTATTTAGTTTTTAAATATCTCTGTGCACTTGTGCCTGGGTGTGATTTCATGAGATGTGATGGGCTGAACAGACAAGGTTTTGCTCTTTCTCTGCTGCAGCTCCTGCTTCATCCAGCCCCTTCAGCATCGTCACAGCCTGCCGTCAACTCATTTAACCTGCTGAGGTGGCAGAGGAGAAAAAGAAAAAAACAGCTTCCTTCCTTCCTTCTCCTGTCCCCAAACTGCATCTCTTTCTGCTATTTAAGTGGATTAAATTGGTTTGCAAAGTGCTCCCGTAGGCAAAGGAACGGTGGTGTGGAGGCTGTCTTCCCTTTTTGGTGGCAAAGAGCTGCTTGGTCAGCTCTGATGGCCATGAAACCTCAGCCCTGACCCACCTTTTGGTGCCACTGTTACCATAAAATTCCACAATGGTTTGCGTTGGAAGGGACCTTAAAGCCCACCCAGTGCCACCCCTGCCACGGCAGGGACACCTCCCACTGTCCCAGGCTGCTCCAGCCCCAATGTCCAGCCTGGCCTTGGGCACTGCCAGGGATCCAGGGGCAGCCACAGCTGCTCTGGCAATTCCATGGCAGCCCCTGCCCACCCTGCCAGGGAACAATTCCTTCTCAAGATCCCATCCAGCCTCTGTCAGTTTTAAACAATTCTTCCATGCCGTGCCAAGGGCCAGTGCACTGGAACAACAGCTATGCCAGAGTGGCAGTGGGAGCACTGGGAGTCCTGTCTGGGAGGGGAAAAAACCTTCCAATCCAGAAGGTGCTGTCACTAACACCATGAATCTAGGAATGCATGATCTAATCTGCCCTGATTTCTCTAATCAACCCTTTCTTATTACCCTTTCTTATTGCATCCTTTACAAAATGAAAACTGGAAAAGAACTTGGAAGAGTTTTAAAAATGGGTACCATTCACTTGGTCACCCCAGCTGCTGCTCCAGGTCCTGGGTTACAGGTTAAAGTGGGATAATAAATTCTGACTAAGATCCCAACCCTACAGTGCTTGTTCTATGTAATGCTTTGTTTGTTTATTTGTTTGTTTGACTCATCTAAATTGGGGATTTCAGCCTGCTCAGGAGGAGAGGAGGGACGACCAGGAGCCAGAGGGAAGAGACCTCGAGGACAAGGAAGAAGGGGAAGCAAAGGAAGAGGGTGCCAAACCAGAACCGAAGCCAGAGTCTCTGGAGACTAAAGCAGACAAGGATTTGAAAGCTGCCCAAAAAACAGTGAAAAGACACAGAAACATGTACTGCAAAGTCGTCTTGCTGGATGACACCATTTTTGAGTGTTCTGTGGATGTAAGTACTTTGGGGGTTTGGTTCTGCATCTCGTCTCTTCCTTCTCCCTTCTGCTTCTCTTGAAAAATCACCACAAACACGATTTAATAGGGGCCTAATGTGCTGCCAGGGAATTACATGACAGGTTTTACTGTGGAACAAGCCTGCTGTAAGCTATAACAACTTATTTAGTGTGTTGTAAAAACCTCTGGGTACTAGGAATCTTTATTTTTTATTGTTCTACAATTCCAGCGTGCCTTACTTTATAAAGGTGGGGAGAAGTTTTAAAAAAAAACCCCAAACCCAAATTTTATATTACTTGCTGTTCACGATCTCTCTCATTTGTATCCCAGGCTAGAGTTTAGGTTTTTGGGGTAGGTTGTAATTGTCTAAGTAACTTCTGCCTCATTGGCTTTGAATAAAATGGGTTGTATAAAATCGATTTGTGCTTTTCTAGTCCTCCAAGGTACCTTTACCTCTCAGGCTGCTGGTTAACTTACCTCCTGCTGCTTGGATGTAAAGTAAAACACACTGTGTTTAGCCTGCAGTTGAATATATTTCCAGTAAACAATTTAACATTATGTTGACTTAGAGCACTGCAATCCCCTTCATCTGAGAGCTTTTTTTCTCTTTTGTTTTGTGCATTCTCTCGCAGGGCTGCGGTGCTGTCAGGGCAATAAAAAGAGAGCAGAAATCCCTATTTTAATATCAAAGTACTTGTGCAGAATATCAATAATCTGGTACTTACCATTGGAGCGTACTTCCACCAGCTTGTTTTCCCTCAGTCCTGCTGGTAAATGGGCCAGGAGGGGGTATCTGGGCACAGGGCTCCTTGTGGGAACAATTACCTTGGGTGATCCTGGGCAAGTAGGTCAGTGCTGAGTGTTTGTGTAACAGTGGAGCTGCTGGTACTGCCTGGGATCAGCTCAAAGCATCGCTGCCCCATCACCTTCCCCTTGGCCAGGGAGACTGTGTGCAGCCTCAAGGAGCCTCTTCCCCAAATCCCAGTGACGCCTGGCTGTGGCTTTGTGCCTTGCTTTGCTGCAGCAGTGCCTTTGGATACCGTCGTGGACACTGTTGGAGGGAGAGCCATGGGGGCTCCTGACTTGAGCAGGACGTGAGAAGTGTCTCTCTGTAGGTCCAGAGTGTCATGGTGGGCACTGCAGAGGATTGGGGGGGGGCACTTAACTTGAGAAGCACCCTTGGCTTTAGCACCAGTATAATTCTGCTCTGGCGTTTTGAGAATTTATTAAATTTTAATAGGGAAGGAATTGCAAAGGTGTAGGCAAAGAGCAGCACAAATACCTTTATCCAAGGAAAATTAGTGTTTTCGGGCATCCTTTCTGACTGACGGCCCTGGGAGCTTTTTTGTTCCTATATCAGTGCCAGTTCCTTGAGGAATAGCCAGGCTAACACATACATTATGTTACCTATAGAGTCACAATGTGTGCACAAAGGCCCTGACAGCTGACAGGGTGGAATAATGTCAAGGAATAAAACAAGGCAGGGGTCTTGGAGCAGTTGCCATGCAGAGATGAGTGACAGGAGAGCTGCGGGCATTAGTGAAGCTGATTTTGCGTCACTGGAACTGCACTTGCTTCTAGCAGAGCCTCCAATGGAATAAGCTGCTTTTGGTTGCCATAGTTTTATGCCTCAGGGATGTTTTCCTTCATGCTTTTGGATTAAAAGGGTGTCTAGTTCTTGGGCCAGTTCACTTCTGCAGGATATGGGGGAGACAAAAAGGACGCAGGAGTGCTCCAAGTGCATTAATGGAGGCAGGAAGCTGTGTGCTGAGCAGCTTTGGGCACATGAGGCAGATGGGAGAAGCTGATTTTCATCATCAGAGCAGGGTGATGGAAAGGCCATGGAAATTATGGGCTTTGGTTATGTGCTGCTGTCTTTTTTTCTGAACCTAAGAAAAGTCCGATTTCTCCTGAAATGAATAGGCTGTAGCAGCAGTTTAATCTCTTGATCCACACCTGATCATCTGGCAGCCTGGGCCTGGGAGATACCAGCACTGTAGATGTACCTGGAGGGAAAAACCTGTACAGATCCTTGGGGTCTATCGAGCTGTGTTGGGAAGTCCAGCTTTGGGGGATTTTCAGATGTGGAGCTGGTGGGAAGAGAGAGACCCAGTGTGGTTCTTGTTGCCTCTGTGGAATTTTTATGTCTGCTGCCCTTTCCTGTAAGGAGTCCTTGTTCTGACACAGCCAGGAGATATGATTTGGAGCTACTCAGGACCCTTTTTCCCCTTAGTGATAGTGCACCGTGTGATTTGATCCTGTTTGCTTCCTCCCCTCTCCTGTGAACAAAGACAGGCAAAACCCAACCCTGTCCTACAGGATTTCTTTGTCTATTTGCAGAAACACGCCAAGGGACAGGATCTACTTAAAAAAGTCTGTGACCACCTCAATCTCCTGGAAGAAGACTACTTTGGTTTGGCCATATGGGACACGCCAACCTCCAGGGTAAGCAGCTGCTGGCCCCAGGGGGATTCAGCTCTTCCTGCATTATCTCTCGAGGGCAGGAACTGGGGCAGAAGCTCCTCTTAAAACTCGTTCTGGTGTCCTCCCTAAATATGGACTGCGGGTCATCACACAGGAAGAAATGGTGAACAAATGGCTACAGGAGTGTGGATTTTAGTCAAAAAGCTATGTGAATCATAGAATGAATCGTAGTGAACTTGGGTCTTCACCTGGAGAAAAGTAATTTTATTAGTTTACTGCAAAATTATGTCATTAAGTTATAAAGCTGAAGGAATCAGGCAGCCCTGGTACTGGTGTCAGCATTGGAAAGGTTTGGTTGGAGCCATCCAAAGCTTTTGGAGTTGAGCCTTTGCCCTACAGAAGAGCAGATGTGACTCTATACCTAAGCTCCTACTCATGGTTTCAATTTAAGATCTTTGTTTGATTTGACTCAAGCAGGGTCTTATCTTTTAGAACCTTGGTTATTCTTTAACTCAACAATTACTCAAGGTCTATTTCATAAAGCCAAAAGTGAGATAATTGAAATGAAGGGCCCAATTCTATGTCCTTCAGGCGAGTTATGCTGGTCTGTATTCTGACTCTTCCTCTGCTTCACCTGCAGCAATCCCAAATTACTGTGGCCAGGTTACTGACTGACAGATGTCTGTCATTAAATATATTGTTTTATACACAGGTAAAATAATAACCAAAAATAACACTGTTTGAGGCAGGCAGAACTCCTGCTTTGTTTTACAGTCTCTGGTGTCTTCTAATTTTCTTGGATGTGAAATGTGTTTCCATGTATATAACATGGATATTTTTTATCAGAGTTTGTTCTTGCAGAGGGAAGGGTAAGTGCACTTCTAGATGCAATTAAGAGCAAAAAGAGTGTAGCTGGAGCAGCTCAGCTTCTTCTGCGTGTGCTGTGGGTAGCTCACTGCTGCATTTGGGTATTAGGAAAAAATCCTTCCTGGAAGGGGTTGTCAGGCCCTTGGCACAGGCTGCTCAAGGAAGTGGTGGAATCACTGGATTCCTGGAAGTGATCAAAAGGCATATAGATGTGACACTTGCAGACTCTGCACAGTGCTAGCCTTGGCAGTAATGAGTGGACTTGATGATCTTAGAGGGCTTTTCCTAAATGATTCTGCGGTCTCCTAGACCCTCGGACTTGCTCTTCTTGTGTCCAGGCTTTTGGTGTTGATTCTTCTGGAAGCAGAAGCACATACCTTCACCCCCAAGACAACAAGAGCTGAGAGGTTGTGCAGCTTTTTAACTGTATGGACTGAAAACAGATTGTTTTGTCAGATCTGTGTCCCAGAGCTGGAAGCTGGGGCACATGAGGCCACCGTCCATGGGTTGTTCAGCTCCAGTGTGGAACAAGCTGTTTTGGTTTGCTCTGATGGGTGAAAACACTTTTTTTTTTTTTTTTTTAAATCTTTCTGGTTATGCTTTATTGAACTTCAAAATCTGAGGCTTCATCTCTGTCCTGCTGTAACTTCACACAAGACCTCCCCAGAGTTACTGATTCACAGGTAAAATGGTATTAATAGGATCCAAGGATGAGCTCCTGCACCTCACCTGCAGCTGTGTGGAGCAGGTGGAGATACATGTGTGCATACCTGGATAGGGAAAGGCTGTATGTGAGATTTTCCACCTTGATATTTAGGGAATGAACTTTCTAAGGACCAGTAATTACCCACGTGGGCATAGCAGAGGGTGACAGTGGGATTAGGAGGTTGTGACAGTGGCTGGAGCAGCTGGGCACCATGGAGCAGCAAGGAGCTCATTGCCCTGAAAGGGAGGATTGTTTCTCACTGATTCACGACCCAGTGGGATAAAAGTGCTGTTAATTGCTGTTCCCATCGTTGTCTGCTGGATCAGGCAGGGTGGGATGCATGACTGCACCCTGGGCTCGCCCCAATAACGAGCAGTTGTGGCACCAGCTCTGCTTCAAGCTGTGGCCCTAAAAAGGCAGCAAATCTTCCATTCAAATGGATTTTGTATGCCCACTTTTATATATTAGAGGAGAGGCATATAAAGAGAGGAGATTAAATGCAAGTATTGCTGTCTCCCTGCCATGAAGTTACGTGTCCTTCTGGTCAGGAGAGATTAGCTTGGGGGATTCAATGAGTTAATTCCTTCACCTCAGGAGACCTGGATGTCCAAATCCTATTCAGAGCTGGTGAAAATGAAGATGTGGTTAAATGTAACCTCTCCAGGAGGGTTGGTAGCCTTGGACAGGCCCTGACCCCTGCAAAGGGAAAGGCTCAGACCATGGAAAAAGCAGGAATTGAGGCTTAAATTGCACCACCATCCCACAAAACCTCAAATTACAGAGGAGGGGGAAAAAGATACATTTCTAAATTTGTAGCAGAGATAATTTCTAGACACTTGAGCCATAGTTAAAAGAAATGAAGTTTATGTCACACTCCTGTAAAAAATTCCAGCCTGACACAGGAATTGGGTGTTTTTACTCATATTTCAGCAATTAGGTCATTGAAAACGTTATTTTAGATAATAATAGGAAGTCTTGGTGATCTTTGATCTGAATAGGGTAAGTAAGGAGACAGGGTGCTTAGAATTAATGTATTTGTCCTATTTACTTAAAAAAGGTGTTGTATAAGTGTCCCTGGTAGCTGTGGCCATACCTGTTGCTCTGTTCTTGCAGCCCTAATAATTTGCTTTTTTTTCCCCCCCTCTTGTTACTCCTGCCTTTCTTATGAGTCCCTGGTAGGTAAATGGCTGGAAATACACCCACTGAGACCACAGCCTGGAGTAAAAGTAGTTAAAAATGCACCATCTCTTTAGTTTCCATGGCTGTCTTTGTGTCAAATGTCCTTTTTTTTTTTTTTCTTCTGTATTTTTAGCAATTTTCAGCTTTCTGTGGTGTTTCTGGAATGTCTGGTAAACTGTTAATGTTTTTATCCTTTTACAGACGTGGCTGGATCCTGCCAAAGAAATAAAAAAGCAGGTTCATGGTAAGTAGATTGAATTTATCATGTGTGTGGGGGTGCGGTTTCTCCCAGTGTGGCTTTGGTGAGCCATCCAGGGAGCCCAGGGATGGGGACAGGTCAAGTGAGGGTGGCTGGCAGGGATCAGCACAAGTTCAAGCAGTCTGTGCATCCTTTCTGTCCTTCTTAAGGACTTAGGTATGCTCTAGATTTAGGAAAAAAATGTCATTTCCTTGGTAAGACAGCTTGGGATGTGTTTGCCTGAAGCAAAGCCACACTGTTGGTGCAGTGCTGAAATGGGAATGTGCTCCTTGCTGGAGGATGGGAAAATGGCTGTCAATGGGAACCACTGAAATCCCAAAGGAGTTTGGGAGATCCCAAGCAGAATTTTATGGTGGAACAAGTTTTTATGGTCCCTGAGGCTGTTTTGGGGTCCAAATGGGGTCATTGGAATGATAAATGGCTTGAGAAATACCAGCTCAAATACCAGATTCTCTCCCAAGTTGTGTTTTAAGATCTGCTAGCACTGAATTGCTTCAAGATTAAGGCAGTGTCAAAATTAAATATGTGTTAGAGGCTTTTGTTTTCTCTTGGGAGCAAGTCTGACTGCTTTGGAAGTTTTGGGAAGGAAAAATACTGGTTTTTGGATGCTTTTGGTGGGAGGCCCAGGACAAAGAGTGTAATTAAATTCAGATTAGGGGGGATACACAAGGCTGTGGAGTAGGGAAAGTTCCTGTGTTTCCAGCTTCTCTTGGAATCAGTAGCAGGGTGCATGTGAAGGGCAGGAGCTGCTCCATCCATAAATTTCACCTAGTGAGTGTAATGAGCAGCAGCCTGCTGTGAAATCTGGTCCCCTGGGGATGGGTTAAATGGCAAATTACTTGATTTTACTTGAGTTGAAGGTCTTTTGCATGTACATATGAATGTGTGGACACCAGTGTGTGGTGGTTTAGATAACCTCTGCTCCCTTCATTGTCACCTTGGAATCACTTGTTTTGAACTGTGGGTGATGAAAGCAACATGCCTTGTGTTTAATCCCAGTTATGGCATTGCATAAGAAGTAAATCAAGGAATGCTCCATTTCCCTGTTCCCTGTGTGAGATTGGGATAAACCTCTGAGTGAGTTAAGTGCAGGGGTAGATCTCTTTCTGGAATAAATCTTATTTTGAACTAGTGTAAAAGGGCACAGCAGGGGGAGATATAACTATGAAAATCACTCAGGACTATCTTCTACTGGGAAATGGGATTCTTTTCAAGGAAAAGAGAGAGTTACCTCTTCAGCTGTGTCATTTGGGCTGTCCATACCACATATAATGCCAATTCTGTGTGTGATTATGTGGATTCTGCCTCAGTTAATGTCTGTAGTGGTGCTACACAAGGTTTTGCAAGAAGCTGTGTTAAAGAAATTAGGTCTAGACTTGAAAAGCTCTTCCTATCCTGGTGCTTTCTGTCTTCATCCAGAAGTTGATGCTTGTGTTGAGCTAAGTTTAAGCTGTATCTGACTACCTGATCCTCGTGCATTAGGCTGAGGAGTGACTTAGCACAGCCCTCCTTGAACCTTGAAATGTGGGTTAAGCAGTAGACCAATTTTAATTCATTAATTTATAGCCTATAGCTGACCAATCTTCATGAATCTCTTTTCAGTCAATGAAAAAAACACATCAGTCATTTTTGCCACAAGTTGTGGTTAATCCAGGTGATTTTCCCTGCCTTTTTTTTCTCCTGCTTTTCTTACCTGCTGTAAATGAAATCACATCTTACAGAGGTGTTAAGCTGCAGCCAGCTGTGAGAGCAAGCAGTATCAAATGAGTGTTGCATCTGCTAAATTCTGAAGATCAGATTGGATCAGCTTTTTTTTTGTATCAACTGACCATCAAAAGCTATCCCGGTGTGTTTATTTCCTCAAGCTCTCCCTTGTCATTGCAGGAGGCCCCTGGGATTTTACCTTCAATGTCAAGTTTTATCCACCAGATCCTGCTCAGCTAACAGAGGACATCACTAGGTGAGTTACCTGGGAATCCTACTGTCGTGGTCTCCTGAATATGGAATAGAAATGTTTCATATTTGCGTGCTTTTCCCTCCTTCAGCAAGGAGATCAGATGCCTTCACCGTTTGGAGGGGGATTGGTTTGCTTCTGGTGGATGTGAGGATGCTCCTGCTCTCCACTGGAGGCTATGTGTCATTTATAACTCTACTATGTACATGTTTGTATAGAAAAGTAAATTCTTACCTAAAGCCCATAGTTTCTGGTCATAGTGTCCTTTATTCCCTTTGCAGAGTGGAGGTGACCTTGAATCCCCCAGTCCTCCACACTGTTTACCTTGGGAATAAGTAAAAATTGGAAACAAGCATTGTCATATGTTCATCAGTGGCATAAAAAAAGAGGCTCTGATCCTCAAGTTAGTACATTTCTCTTTGTTCTCTGTGAACAGTATTTTCCTTTCTGCCCCCAGGTATTACCTGTGTCTGCAGCTTAGACAGGACATCCTTACAGGGCGGCTGCCCTGCTCCTTTGCCACGTTGGCTCTGCTGGGTTCCTACACAGTCCAGTCAGAGCTGGGAGACTATGATCCTGATCTCCATGGCCCAGATTACATCAGTGAGTTCAAACTGGCCCCAAACCAGACAAAAGAGCTTGAAGAAAAGGTTGTGGAACTTCATAAAACATATAGGTAAGGTGCGGCGGCTGGAGGACTTGTTTGTGCACAGCAACATGAAATAAGGGAAATAATTGGATTTTCTGGTGTTTTCCCCACCTCTGTGAGATACAGAAAACCTGCTGATGTCCCATCCCTGGAAGTGTTCAAGGGCAAGTTGGATGGGGCTTGAAGCAACCTGGGATAGTGGAAAGTGTCCCTGCCCATGGCAGGGGGTGGCACGAGATGATCTTTGAGGTCTCTTCCAATATCCAGACCATTCTGTGATTTTATGATGATTCTGTGAACATTAACTTCTAACAAAAAAATCTGTAATACGTAGGACAATTTCTAGGAGCAGGAATTCTTGTTTCCTGAATGAAGAAGAAACCACATTTATAGAAAGCAGATGTGCAGTCTTGCAATTATTTGTTAACAAATAATTTGCTTCCCCCCCCCCCCCACAGAATAGCCATGCAAGTGGGGTTTCGTTCATGTGCAGATGCAAAATTTACTTCTTTTAACCTTGCCCTTTGCCTTTTTAAAATGTAGTTTTGGATTGTAGTTTGATCTAGTCTCTCTTTACACACTGTAGCCTGCAGCCTGTTTGTGGCATTCTTCTACCACATGTAGTGAGTAACATTCATTTACTAATGTGGAAGGATTCCAGGTGATCCAGGAATTACAAACCTGGAGTTAAGTGTTTCCTAGTGCAGCCATGACCTGGGCAGGTGTGTCTGGTTCGGTAGGGTTGAACAGCTCCTGGGAGTCTCCCCGGTATCAGATTCAAGGGTGACAGTAACTAAACCTCTTCTTCATCTTATTTTGGGTGTATTTTCCTAGAAAGAAAAAGATGGAGCAAAGACAAGACTTTATCACAGGCAGATGAGACCAAAAAACTGGAGCACAGTGGGAAGGGTGGATGTGGGCCCTGACTGTGACCACTCAACCCCTCACTCAAGCCTGCAAATCAATATTTTAAATTGATTTCCCTCCATTTACACTGAGAGGAGAGGAAATGAGAGGAAATAAGTACTGGGCCTCTGACAAGCTTCATGACTTGGAGTCAAAGGCCATTCACTGTGCTAGAAGTGGTGGATCACAGTGCTGAATTATTCATGGCTTCATCAGAAGGAACTTCAAGGTATAAGCTGTAGTTATAGTCCATCTGTCTGCATGTGCTGGAGAAAACAACACATCCGCATTTAATTTCTGGTTTATATTCTGTGAACATTAAACTTCAGAGGGTTTTCAGTGGGAATCACAGAATCATGGAATTGTTTAGGTTGTAAAAGACCTCGAAGACCATTAACCTAGCACTGCCAAGCCTGCCACTAAACTATATCTCCAAGTGTAACATCCATGTGTTCTTTGGACATTTCCAGGGAAATCTCTGCTAAACCGTGCTCCAGCTCTTGCTACTGTATTTGCAAAGCACAAAGCACGTATCAAGATGCTGACTGCTCCTGGGGCTTTCCTACAAAATTGTCCTTACAGTGGACTTTGCTCTGTCTCCCACCACTCAAACCTCTATTTACATCACATATAAGATGTATGTGAGCCCTCTAAAGGAAGACATCAAAGGAGGATAGAAAATGAAATGTATGCAGCTGAATCCTTTCCCAGCAGAGCTGTTAATGTACTTCATACTCCAGAAATGTATTAACAGGGACACTTCAATAACGTTGATAATGGGTTCCATTATCAGGATGTCTTTGTTAAATTGTACCCCTCCTGCAGACAGGGCACCATCTGTTCCCAGAAAACCCCTCATTGATCTGCTCCCCTGGTTGGAATGTCTGCTGAGTGGTTTCAACTGTCCATGTGTTTGTTGGAGAACAATAGCTGGGTTTGGGGAGGTCTGGAGGCAGCAAGGCTGTGGGGATAGGACCTCTCACCTTTTGCTCAGTTGGGTTTCCTCGGCTGAATCAAATTTTGTCCCCTCACTGTTCTTTCTCACTTCCTTCTCTAGTGCCTGTACAGCTTCACAGGAATAAAGTGCAGCCATGTTATTGGGATGTCTCAAATCACGAGTTTGAGCAGTCAGAGTGATTTCGTAATTCATCGTCTGGGCACAGATTTTTTTGTATTGAAAGCAAAAGAAAATCTAATGGATTTCATGAAGTCTCATCTATCTCCTCTTAAAAGCAACAGTTTTGAGAATACCAAGTCCTTTCTTTTTCTGCAGATCCGTGACTCCAGCCCAAGCAGACCTGGAATTTCTTGAGAATGCTAAAAAGCTTTCCATGTATGGAGTCGACCTTCACCAAGCCAAGGTGAGAGCCAGCCTGTGTGCACCTATCTGTGGATTTTGTAATTTGATTATCCTTCCCTTGCAGAGCAAGTTTACCTGTTTTGGGAAGCTCCTTTGGAAAGAGAGAAGGTGTGGAAATGCAGACATAGAACATAGACATAGAACAGGAATGCCTCAAGCATTCCTGCAAGAGAAGTGATTCTTTGTGGTTGCTTATTATTTATATATCACAGGAAACTTTCCAAAGCTCCTCGTATAGAAAGATCCTTTCTGTGAGTAACATAGAATACAGTATGTATTCCCTGCCACGTGAGTCTCTGTGTTCCAGGAAATGCAACAGGGCCTCTTGATGAGCCCTTCGGGCATCTAGCAGGACAGGAGAGAGCAGCAGCAGGGAGGAGGTTGTCAGGAAAAGCGTCAAAGAAAAGGAAGGGTGGCCGTGGAGCTGGGAGGTAGAGTCTGGGTGGTGGGAGATGAATTTCTGAGAAGACCAGAGGGATAATTTGGAAGGCAGCTGTCATGACATGAAACTCATAAACCTGACACTGCTTAAATCCTCATCTGCATTCCCAGGACTTGGAAGGTGTGGATATCACTCTGGGGGTCTGTTCCAGTGGCCTTCTTGTTTACAAAGATAAACTGAGAATCAACCGCTTCCCGTGGCCCAAAGTCCTGAAGATTTCCTACAAACGCAGCAGCTTTTTCATAAAGATTCGGCCAGGGGAGGTAGGACTGGCTGCTGTGGGCTCCTGTCATCCTGTTTGCTTGGGATTGTCACCGTGTGTGTGTCCCTGAATGGGGCGGGGTCAGCCTCTTCTCTGCGGGAGCGTTTGACATCGGGGTGTCTGAGCCCAGCTGAAGCTCCAAGCCGGCTGGTGACAGTCTGACAGTGTGTCATCCAGCACCACCTCCTGGCATCAATGGGTATTCCCAGCATCCAGGGAAAGGCGTAGGAGGTTTGCAGATGAAATTGGGGCAGCACTAACTCATTTTTGGAAACCGGGCAAGACAATGGCTCTTTGTCTTGCTTTTATTCAAATAAAATAATTAAAAATTAGAATTAGTTTTTCACCTAAGTGCAGGAAGCAGGGAATGGATGCATTGATGCTGCCACTCATGTATGGGGAAATCTCTGGAGCAGCCTGGTTACATCAGGGAGAGAGGCTACAATGGGGATCCACCTCTTTTGTCTTCTTCTTCCTTCTCCTGCTTTCACTGCCATGAGCCAGGTTTGCAGGGAGGTCAGTGTTGGACCTCAGCCCACAGCTGGGCAGTATGACAGGGGGAATGAATGATCTGACTGGCTTCAAAACCCACGACATGTTGCCCTGCAAATCCCAGTGCATCCTGAGGGATGCCCGGCTAGAGGCCAAGACCTCTCTTTCCTGCGACCTGAGGTCCTGCTGCACATTGTGGGGCAAGTTCAGCAGGTTGTGCCACAGCAGACCAGGGTGTTGGGCTGAGGACTGGGCTGCTGCTACATTTATTTCCTGCTGTACTTAAATAACTCATGTTTTCACAGCAAGAACAATATGAAAGTACAATTGGGTTCAAGCTACCAAGTTACCGGGCAGCAAAGAAGCTGTGGAAAGTATGTGTTGAACATCACACCTTCTTCAGGTGGGTTTTCTGAACAGTAGCCTCAGTCTGAGTAACTTCATGCTTAAATTTAACTATTGGAAATGAACACTGTTCCTTAGCATTTTAGAAAAATGGGACAGAAATGGTTTCAGAGACAGTAGGTGTTAATCTTGCAGTAAATTTTTAAGCAAGTTCTGCTTCATAGTACCCATAAGACAGAGATCTTTGGGTCATGTGAGACATCATTAGTATGTGGATTTCATTGGCCAAGCAGATGCAAGAGACTCCTTCAATTTCTATTTTAATTCCTCTTCACATGCCCCTCCCTGTCTCTGGAGGTGTGATTTTTAAACGTGTGTGTATCTTTCAGGCTGACTTCCACCGAGGCCATCCCTAAGAGCAGGTTCCTGGCGCTGGGCTCCAAGTTCCGCTACAGCGGCCGGACGCAGGCGCAGACGCGGCAGGCGAGCGCCCTGATCGACCGGCCCGCGCCCCAGTTCGAGCGCACAGCCAGCAAGAGAGCGTCCAGGAGCCTCGATGGAGGTGAGTCAGTCCCTGCTGCCTCTGCTCTCTCCCTTCTGCAATCACCAGGATGCTGAAGTACTCCTTAAGGAACGCCTGGATTCCCTGCTGTACCACAAACACAGGCGTAACTTGTCACTGTAGTACAAGACCTTGTTGCTGCCCCTTACGTGTTTAGGAATTATGTGCCTGTAGTGAGACTGAATTGGTGCTCAGTTGGTTACAGCAGGGTGCTGATAACACCATGGGGATGGGTTTGTTCCCCATATAGGCTATTCACTTAAGAGTTGGACTCTATGATCTTCATGGATCCCTTCCAACTCAAAGTGTTCTGTGATTCTCTGATTGTGAGTTGGACTCAGTGATCCTTGTGGGTCCCTTCCAACTCAGAAAATTCTGATTCATCACACAACCTTCATTCACATCAACAAAACCACCCAACCAAACCAGTAATTCCCCCTACAAAAACCAAAACGGCATAGTCACAACACAGAACAAAAGTGGGAAATTTACACCTAATTCACCCCTTGAACAAGAATTCCCCATGATCATTCTGCTCTCTAACACTGCTCAGTACTTCTGCCCATTACCTCTCCCAGGTTTTAGCCTTATCTCAATATCACAGCACTGTGAGGGCTGTTCCGAGTAAATTAACTCCATCTCAGCCAGACCCAATACAAAAATGCAAACCAAGGGTGGTCCCAGCAGAACCACCTTGATGACAAGAATGTAGGTGGGTGCTGAAGGCTTATGGCAGAGTTCTGCTTGTAAAGATATTTCTTCATTTGATCTCAAAGCATTTTCCTTTAGAAAATCAGGAATTAAGCCATTCTGTTTATTTTGTTAAATATTATTTCTTAAATTCCATAGTTTTACATTAGGAGATTTTTTGCCACGATAGAAACCTTTTCAGTATCTCTTAAAGCAATGCTCAGGTTGGAGTTGAGATGTGTCAGTCAGATGGGCTCCTTCCTGAGATTTTTAAAAGAAACAGATAGCAGCAGAAGAGGTGAAGGGTGGAAAAGGGAGTGCCTAAGTTTGGTCCACATAATCTGTATCGCAGGGTATTAAGATCCAGGGAAAGAGGATCATCCCTGTGCACCATGGACACCTGATGGAGCAGGGACTGTGTTGCTTTGAGCCCTGAGTTTGTGCTGCAGCCTGGGGGGACCAGGGCTTCCCAGCACCCCATGGCCAGCAGCAGCCAGGCTGTCCCTGCTCCTGGGCTCAATGACATCCTGAGCCTGGGTTTTATGTCATGGAGCTGGAGGGAAGGGATGGTTCAAGCTCCGTGAGGCAGCAAAGCCAAATTCCAGCTTCTCTGCAGTCTGGGCATGCGAGGCTCCTCAGGCACGGTGCACAGCAGTGAGGGGACCAGTGCTTCCCGTTGCCCATCGACCGCAATATGACCCCAGATGAGCAGGGAAATGGCAGCTGCAGTGCTACACCTGGATACCAGAGCTTGGAAAAGAGCGGCCTGGGAATGTGACACTCGTGTCCCATTGCCGTCTGTGCTTTTGCCGTGCGGGCGGTCGTTAACGTGTGCCCCGTTTCTTCAGCTAAACGTGTGACTCAAAAGGTTGAGTTCAGAACCGTAGAGGAAGAGAAGCAGAAGGAGGTGGTGGTGGTTGAGGTTCCTGAACCAAAACCTGCGGATCAGATCCGAGAGAAACAAGGTATAGCTGTGGTGGTGGTGGCTAAAACTCTCTGCAGTGCCTTTCCTATCCTCTACATGCTTGTTCCTGACAATTTCCAATTTTCACCAAATCTGTTGGCTTTTTCTTTTCACTTCTTTGCAAGAAGAATTTCGCAGTGAGAGGAGACACAGCCCAGCTCTAGGAGACTCCTTAAATTTCCACCTTGCACTTCATTAGACCGCAATTCTTGTGGGCAGGTGGGGAAAAGATTAGGATGTGCTGTCTGTGCTCTTGTTTAATCTGGGTAGTTTTGTGTATATGGATTTGGAAACTAAAATTTGATCTTAAAACTTTGCATGAAGCTTCTGCAATTCTTCATTCAATTCTTCTTCAATTCTTCAAGGACCAGGAGGTCCTTGCCATTTTGTGTTGGTTTTTTTGGTGTTTGAGCAAATTTTTCTGTGTGGAGCTTATATTTCTCTTAGGATAGATACTACTAATAAATATGAATGTCCTTAAGAGGTGTGTAGGCACGTTTGAATACTAGTAAATGTATCACAGCAGCAGTGTTGCAAATATTTGCAGTCTTTATCACTTGGATAGTGACCACCTGTGGTGTGTTAGGGCTGGAGATAATTTACATGCAGATGCTTATGGGTACCCTCCTCCCACCCAGAATTTTTACAGTGTACTTTTGACTGCATTACTGCTTTCCTAGTATCTAGATCAAGTTTTCATGAAGTGTGGCAAACTCCCCCTCCATGGGCATTCCTTGAATCTTCACTAACCAGCATCTTCTGGTGGGGAAAGCCCAATGCTATAAAAGCAGAAGGTGGGGAATTTGAGACACCAGGGTAGATTTGAGGTTGATCACTCAAGTACTTTTAATTAAAGCTGCTAGGTTATAGATACATTTTTGTCTGGATATGTTTTTCTTGGATTTTGCCAGCCAGCACCTGCCTCTCTCCAGACTTCGCAGGCAGAGCCCTTCCTAGTTCCTCGCTCGAGAGCTATTCATGTGTCCCACGTCTCCTTTCCTGGGCAAGGAGCCCATAAAGCTTATTTTTGTGTTCTTTCCTCCTCTCATCCAATACACTGTTGGGTCTGACAGCGCTAGAAGGACTGACACAATTCCATAGTGGAAAAATACTACTGAGCTGCCTGCAAACCTCCTTGCTGTTCCCAGCTACTGAGAAGGATCTCCTCACTCCTTGCTGTGGTGACCATCATGTGTCTGTGTGGGTCCCCAACCCCCATTAACACCTGCAAACCTCTTTCTAGCCAAACACACTCTTGAAACATTTGAAATGAAAGCCATTGCAAAGGAGGAAGAGGAGGAGAAGGTAGAGGTGGTTAAGGTTCCTGTTGTCAAGCCACAGTCAGCGAAGCTGGTACCGCCGCAGTCAGGTACAGCTGCAGTGGTGTTTGGTGGCAGTGGCTCCTGTGCTGTTGCTGCTGGGGTGAAGTGATGCAGTGCTGTAGGACAGAGGTTACACTGGTTGTGGTGGTGTTTGCTGGCACTAAAATCACCCCAGCTTTGCTGTGTGCTGCTTTTCAGGTGTGCTCTGGGTGCAGTGAGGGGGTGCCATGCCCTGGCTGTGTGTGGAAATGAGTGTGCAGTGGCCTCTTAAAGCTCCTCCCATACTGTCCCTTCTTGTGAGGTTTGTTCCCCTGAGCTGTAGGAGCCTGCATTGCCTGGAAATCAGGTTATGAGATCTGGGACTGCTGGAGGTCACCTATATTCCATTTTATTTCTTCACTAGGGAGCTACTACTTGCCTAGTTGGGGAAGGATGGCACAGCAGCGTTGCTGCTGCAGATAGATTTGTATTAATCATAATTAAAAGTAGAGTGGGTTATTTGTTGAAGGAAGAGGAGATGAAAGCTGTAGAGGGAGGTAACTGGGAGCATCACATGTTTCCTTGGTTGGTATGAAAACCACTGGAAGATGGCCATGGCCCCAAGGCTACCAGAGCTCCAGGAACATTTGGACAATGCTTTCAGGCACCGGCTGGGATTATGGGGGTGCCCTGTGCAGGACCAGGAATTGGACTCAATCCCTGTGGGTCTCTTCCAGTTCAGCATATTCTGTGATTTTTTATTTCACGGGATGTGTGGCAGCAGATTGGACATCAGCTGGTGTCAGACCCAAGCACATCCAGGGCTCTCCTGCTGTAGGTGTCCCTTCTCATCCACCTCCTGCACTTTTCCTCATCTTGGCTTTTCTGCTCCCAGTAGAGACTGTTGGTGAGGTGATGGCCCTGGTGATGGTGAACAGTCATAGAATTCTAGAATGGTTTGGTTTGGAAGGGATGTTAAAAATCATCCAGTTCCAATCTATGTTTTATATCTCAGTGCTTTTTACTGTGTTTAAATCCTGTGTCAAAATAGCCAAAGGCAGTTAATCAGGAAAATGTAACTAAAATACAGTTCTGGCAGCCCAGGACTCATTGTTGGATGGCACAGGAGAAGCCTGGTGTCTGCTACCATTTTTCCTGCATGTCTTGATGCTCTGGGAGAGCAGCAAGAGAGATGGCCCTGTGAATTTACTGGTAGTAATATTTCCTTTGCTGCTTCCTCTGCATTTTAACACATCCTTTTTTAGCCAAACGTGATCTTGGCAGTATTGAGATAAGCCCAATTGAAGAGGAGGAGGAGGAAGAAGAGAAAATGATGGTGGTGAGAGAACTAGAGCCGTTGCCGAAGGAGTCAGGTACCACCGCAATGACAGCTTTGCACTCGCAGCATCCTCCTCATCCCGGCCATCCCTGCCATCCCACCTCGGTACAGCCTTCCCAGCGGCTGTCACTAATTCTGTGACATGAATACACTGGGACACAGCGCCCATTGTCCTTCAAGGAGGATTACACAGGGTCTGGGTCACAGAAATGAACTGCTGTGCTGAGGAGCAGGGAGAGAGTACAACTGGCAGTAGTGGGGTGTGTTTTAGGGTTGTTTACAACAGGATGTAGAGTCCAGGAGTTTGTCTTGAAAGTGTAATTCTAATCTCTGGAAATTCAGAAATTGAAAAAAATTCTTCTTTTTGCCTCCACCTTGTACGTTTTTGGCCACATGGATACTTTATTCTCTCTATGTTTTATTAAGACACAGATGAGATGTTGTTACCTTTTCTGTACATCAGGAATTTACTAAGGAGTTACTTGAAATTACCATTTTTATTTTAACGACAGATTTTCTATGAGTGACTGGTTGGACATGAGTGACCTCATGTTGGCTGGAATAGGATACACAGTATGATCCTGCTGCAAACTGTGATTTTGGGAATGTGAGACCACATCAAAGATACTCTTTTATGTGACAGGGTATCTTTTTAGTGAAACATCCCTAAAAACCAATATTAGGAGAACCAAATAGGTTATTGTATCCCTAGATACACACAGGTAATTAATTTGGGTTTGCTTTGTCACACAGCTTCGGCTTGAATGTTTCCTTGGGGTCAGGCAACTACCTGGTAAATCAGGAATTGAAGGAAAGGAGTAGTCAGTTGATTTTGTGTGGACCTAGTGCTTATATTTACAACTGTCATCCTCTGAAAAGATGATTTTTGGCAGCCTGCTGTTCATTTCTGCACTGTCACTGGTCTGGAGGTGCTGGGTATCTTCCCACTGTGCTGCCTTGAAGATACCTAGCTTGGACATGCAGCCCCAGCCTGCCTTGAAACCCACCGACAAGTTGCTGAGTTTTCTAGATTTGTTGATTTTTTTTCTGGGGGGGTGGGGAGGGTGGGAAGCCTGTGTTTCTCTTCCAGAAGCCATCTGTTTCTGCTTGAGGAGATATCCATGAGTACAGAACTCCTCAAGCTGTGTCTTTTCTAGTTGCACTGGAGTGGAGTTTGTGTCAGTTGTGTGTGAAGGACCCAGAAATCCATGGCACAATGTCAAAAACAGATTTGCCTTTCTGGTGTGGCTTCTCTGCAGAGTGCAAGCTTGCTTTTTGTAAACCATCTGGTGTGGTTTTTATTTGATTTTACTTTAAACCATAAGGAAAATAATCTCAACTCTCCCATACTAAATGCACAAGCTGCTTTGCTCAACATCTTTGTTTCTTTTCCCTTTTCTTTCATCTTCCTCCTCCCTCGCCTCTTCTTTTTAAATGACAGCACTGTAATTTGGAAAGACTTTGCCTAGTCTGTTGAGAAGTTACCTGCTCTGACCCTTGTCCCTGTCTGTCCCTCATCCTCAGCAGTGGCTGTGATAACCCCGGAGCGGAGTCCCCGGCCCACCTCAGCCCCGGCCATTGCTCAGAGCCACGCTGCAGAGCCAGCCCCGGCCAAGTCCGACGTGAAGGACGTGGCCACATCTAAAGTAGGGAAGGAAACAGCGAAATCTGATGTGAGATGTGAAGAATTTCCACCGGAGAAAGCCAAGGAGCCAGTGGATGCCTCAAGGGTAGGTCAGAGCAGAGCCTCTGGAGAGGAGCTGGGCTGGAGCACCGCTCAGGAAGTCAGCCCGAGCAGCAGCTCACTTCTGGGAGATGAGGGCGTTATCCCTCTCCCCAGGGGCAGGTGGGAGCAGCACAGGGGTCTGGGTGCCAGGGAAATCCCAGCCCTGACATACCCGGTGGAAGAAGGAGCTCCAGGGCAGCCGGGTTTTGGTGGTTGTTGTCAAAGCAAGTGCAGCCTGCTGGTAGATGGTTAAAAACACTGGCAAGAGCTGCACGTGATCGTGGAACTAGAGCTCAGAGCTCACACGTGGCCAGGGGCTGTGCCCCTGATTCCTGGTATGACAGCAGGAGGGAATTCCAGTGAAATCAGTGATAATGGATCGGGTGTGCAGCCCGGCACTGGAATGTTTTTCACCTTGATAGGCTTTTGCTGGGAGAGCTGGTAATACAGTGCTGCAAACTGGACTAAAACTTTAATTGAAAATGGCACTGGTGAGACCTTGGGAGTTTCTTGTTTAAATTCAGTACTTTAAACCATTATTTGATCTTCCTACAAATGTCTGAGTTCTTTGCTGTGGTTGATATGTGTGTGCTGTTCTAATAAGTCAAAATAATGTGCAAAATTATTGTTGATATTACAGTGTCCTTAATATTCAGGAGATCTTATTGACCTACTGAAACCTTGCAGTGGTGCAGCAGAAGTGTTTGCCTTGAGACACAGTTTTCACATTGCTCCAAAATTTAGCTGTTCTCAGCATTGCTGGAGCCACATAATTCTAAACATATCACACAGTGGGTCTTGTGTGAGCATCTCCAGGGAAGATTCCTGTTAATTAAGGTTTGGAGAGGGAGGTGAAGAATGGGCAGATGCTTAAAAAAATTCCATGGCCTGCGTGAACAGTAATTTTTAAATGAAACTGCTGAAGGAAACTTGAGGCTGGCACTGTGGGGTGGGAATCAGAGCACAGAGATCCTGCTGTTCCTGCCCCGCTGCTCCCCCTCCCTCATGTTACACTGACAACAAGGAAATTTTATTTGTCCCATCTTGCTTATTACAGGTTTTTTCCCAAATGCTTAAACATTGGATTTTTCCCCCTTTAAGTATAGATATGGGAGGAAAATGTGAATTTGAATGTACCAAATTTACTGTTTCTCCAATGGAGCTGCATCACTTCTTTTAATACCCACTGATGATTTTGCCATCAGAGTACTTGGCAATCTGGTTTCCCTAAAATACTTCCTTAAAGTGTTAACACAATATTGGCTCTCTACTTATGGACAGGAAAGAACCTAATTTGTGATGTGAGGCTTGGTTTTGTAGCTATGCCTCTTCTTACTGCCTTTGCCAACATAATGCCTGTGATATAACCAATAATTTCTGGTTTGGGGAAGGGCTATGTTAATTTGAGCATGTTGCTTTGTTTGGATTTTCACTGGGAGATCCGACTGCAAATGCCATTTGAAAACATTGCCTGACCAAGCTAATGCAAGTGGGAAGTCCTTCTTCAGAAGCATTGGAGAGCACTGGTTTCAAATACAAATAATTCTCAAGCTGGAGGAATTATTTAAGATGCTGTTGACTAACAGAGTGCTCGGGAGCTGCCGTGTCATTAACTCCTGCCCAGGGCTGCATGTTGGTTTTTGCATGTTCCCCCACCACTTCAAAACCAACTTTATGCAGCTGTGTTTGGAAACTAAATGGTTTCTTGTAACAAATCTACTAACAAGAAATGTTTTTACCAATTTATTTCTTAAATGTAGGTGAGGAAAACACACATTGAGGTCACAGTCCCTACCATGAATGGTGCCCAGCCCCAGGTTTGTGCTAATAATTCAGTTTAGGTTGCTCACACTTCTTTTTTTTTCCAAGGTTCAACACAGTTAAATGAACCAACAACTCTTTTTTTTTTTTGTTTTTATCACTGCCCAACAGCAGCAGCCTGCAGAAAAAGAGGAAGAGCTGATAAGAATGAGGAAGGTTAGCCATTTTACCCTTTCACCAGCCAAATTTGCCATATCATTCATGCATCTGTAACCTGTTTAAAAAGACAGTGCTCCAATTTCTTCATGGGCTTTGTGTTGGGGTGTTGGTTTTCTGATTTGGAAGTTAATAGCTTTTTGTCTCATAGACAACCTAATTACTGAAATTATGCATGTTGAATGTTCCAAAGGAACACACTTGATTTGATTTATGAAATTTCTTCTCTGTAACAAATTTAATTAGAAACCAAATGTAGCCTACATTGCAGGAAATGCAAAACAAAAGTCAGGAGAAAGCTTTTTTGGTATTGATGAAGTAATAGGGAAACATCCCAGATGGGGAAGTGGATAAGGTGAAGTTGCTGTGCACATTGGGACCTCCTAGAAGTGCCCCCAGGCAGTGCAGCCTCGAACTCAGGGGTGGGCCTGCATCTCTCAGGGATGTGGTGTGGTGACTCTTCCACAGAAAACCAGGAATTGTCTCTTTGTGGCCGGGGCCAAGGCCCTGTGGGAGCTGTCTCTTTAAAGGCCTCATTGCATCTCCCATTCTCCATGAGCCAGATGCCCATTCCCAGTGGGAATTCCCACCCCATGCTGCCACAGTGCTGCACCCCCAACTCTCAGTTAACTTTTTAATTTGCCGATTTATCAATCCCGCAAGACCAACGTTTTAATTTTTTGTGCTTTTTTTTGTTTTGTTTTGTTTCCCCCTTTTCTTTCATTTCACAGAAGAGATCAAAGAGGCTAGATGGTGAAAACATTTATATCAGGCATAGCAATTTAATGTTGGAGGTTTGTATGAACTTGAAGCTTTTTTTTGAGTTGCATTTGCTAAACCTTCTGCATCTGCGCTGAACTTCTTCCTCTTCTGCTGCTGCCTTTGTTTTTGCATGCTCTTGCATGAAAGACCTTTTGATTTGATTTGATTTTTTAAATTATGCTTCTGCATGGTGTCAGTAAACATGATGATGTGCAGGCCTTCTTCCTTCTTCCTCTTCTGACTTTCATTCTCTCATACCTCCCCAAAATACATGATTGGCAGTGCTCAGATCTGCTCTGGGACCCACTGGCTGCTCAGGGGGTCATGGATTGTAGTGCTGGGCTCATTGACCAGTTTTTCACTGCTCGAAACAAATTATTTTCCTGGGGGAAAAGCCAGTCTGTGAAAATACAAAATTCAGGATAAACTGCTGGTGAAATTGAGCAGCTATGGCTGCCCCGGGATCCCTGGAAGTGTCACAAGGCCAGGTTGGACAGAATTTGGAGCAACCTGGGATATTGGAAGGTGTTTCAGGCAGGAGAGATCCTTTTGGATGCTTCACTGATGTTTGCAGCTTTTCCATCCTCCTCCCAGCCCTTCTTGGCCTTGCAGCACCTCACCACCCCTGGGCCCCATCCTGCCTCAGTGCCAGGTCCCTCTGGATCTGATAGAGAGGCTCAGTGGTCATGGGTGGCTCACCCTTTCACATTACAGCTCTTCCCCTTGGATTTGGGAGCCCTTTCCATTTGATTTCACCTAAGCTCAGTCTCAGAACAGACCATGCCAATCATATATTTTATTTTCTTTAATACACTCTGTTACGGGAGATGTTTTGTGGCTTCTGATACTCTGGTCCTGTGTTTCGTGTTTCTACTCAAACTTGTAGCACCAGCAGCTCGTAGGGTTTCCCTGGTGGTATCTCTTGAAAGCAGAGTATACTAACTGCCTTCTCCTCATCAGAACGTTCAAAGTTTTGCAGCTTCTCTCTGGGTTTCTTTGGTTTTTTGGATTTTTTTTGCTCTTGGTTTTTTTGTTTGTTTGTTTGGGTTTTTTTTGTTTTTTTGACTGCTACAGCATACAGCTTTGAGTCACAAGTGAAGGGTTTGTACATGATAGGCAGAGTTTGGCCATCGCTGGAGCACTCTGAAGACCGTGCCTGTTGCTTTTTCACCCAACTCAAACAGCTCCAGTTCCCCAGCCCCAAACAGAGCTTTGTCATTGCTTCTAACCTCCTTTTTCCTGTCAGCTCAATACTTGCCTCCAAGCCCTTCCCTCCCCCCTCCCCTTCCCACAGTTCTGTTGCAGGTGCTCCAGCCCTCCCCTACAGCAGGACTGACCCAGCAGCTCATCCCCTTTGCCCGTTATTTTTTTAATCCATGCACTTGGCAGATCAGATATTTTCCTGGAAGATCTCACCTTCCTGAAGCTGCCTGTTGATTTTACTGAAAGCCTTTTAATGTTCCACATGCACTGGGTTCCTGCAGAAAGGGCAAAACATGAGGAAAAGGGTGATGCTGAGCAAGCTGGTTCCTCAAGATGCTTCCCAGACCCAGCTCCACATAGCTCCTCGTGGCTTTGGCTCCTCTGCCAGCCCTCCCAGGCCCTGTTCCTGTGCAGTGCTGGAAAGCCAAGGTGGTCCTTCTCTCTTCTCTGAGCCAGGAGCAGCTGTAGGATTCTTGGACCAGACAGGGATTTACCCCTGCGTCCACAGCAGACTCATTTCTACATTTTTTTTTCTACCTAGCAGGCACTTGCCTTATACTTTCATCTAGGATAGAAGCCAAAATTCCCCCTGGAGCTGTGCCAAAAAGAGTAAATATTGTTAAAGAGTTATTTGAGGTTTAGCCCTTGGCAGGGAGGGTGGTGTGTCCTGGGTGAGCTGCAGGAATGGAGATTTTTGGGAGGGCCCTCCTTCAGGGATGTATTTGCTTTTATTTGCTGTCCCATCTTCTAAAGTCAGTGGGCTGAGTTACAACTAAAAGCACAAAAATAGTGAAATTTCCTGATAGTGCTTTTACTAACCTTGATTTCCCCCTTTTTGCTACTTTTTGGCCCTGTCCTGAAAAGATGTTGTTTGACTTTTGCAAAAGCTTTCTTTTCTACAGCCTCTGGTTTGCTTACAAGGAAGAACTGTTTTTAACAAGTTGACTTGCCTTGAAGTCTGTGTGTTTATGCTGTAAACTGGCATCACAGATTAAAAACCTGACTTTTTCCAGATGAAAAATTTTAGCAGGAGTTTCTTGATTGATCGAGCATAAAATAAAGTTCCAGTTTGATTTTTTTCCAAAAAAAATCATCTCATCTTTGTTTCTGAAGTCTGAAACCTCCTATGATAGCTCCTGGAGGGATGAGATGAGAGGGAGGGGAAAAATGGTAATGGGGATATTCTGGAAGCAAAGATAATTTCTGCTAGGATAAAAGAGAAACAGGTGTAAAGAGAGTAAATAAAATGGGGAAAACATTTTCTTTACCATCAATTGTATTAATACCTAGAAATACTCAGGTTAGCAGAGGGAAAAGAAAACAAACCCACAAAATTTATGATGTTAAATTAAATAACCCAAAGAAATATAGTCTCACAACTTCAAAAATCCTATTTGGGGAAAATCTATGATATTCCAGCTCAACTGTCACCTGGTTTGGCGTAGCTTGAGATGAACCAATGGCATGTTCTGCTGCTGGAGGAGACCCTGTTCCAGGCTTGCAGTTTGTCCCAATTAATCAAAGAAGAGGAGAGAGGACGCTCCCTTTGTGTGTTTGTAGAGTGAACACAGTTTGGGAAGTTGGCAGCAGCTCTGCTGAGTGCAGCTTTGCTAAGCACAGCTTAGGCAGTCCCAGGTCTCTCCATGTCCCTTCACTTAACCTGTCCTTTTGCTGATAGGATCTAGATAAGACGCAGGAAGAAATAAAGAAGCACCATGCCAACATCAGTGAGCTGAAGAAGAACTTCATGGAGTCTGTCCCCGAGCCTCGGCCGAGTGAGTGGGACAAACGTTTGTCCAGCCACTCCCCTTTCCGGAGCCTCAACGTCAATGGGCAGATTCCCACGGGAGCCGATGGAGTGAGTACCTGGGCACGGGGTTGTTCCAAGGGGCAGCATTGCAGTGTGGGATTCCCCTTAGCTTCTGCTTATTTTCAATTTTAATAGTTACCATTGACCTGTAACGTGTAGAATGTTCTCTGAGAGAATCAAAGCTTTAGTCATAGTATTGTAAAAATGTGATTTTTTGGTAGAGAAGAATGTAAGAATTCCTTAACTGGTGTTGATGTTGCTTTTCCTAGTGTTGCTATCAGTGTGATGCTAGAGAGTACTTCCCATGGCTGGTTTGGGGACTGGCTCATTCCTGGATCTCCCCAAAATGTGGAAAAATCCCTGACAAACCCAAAACCCAAAGACCTAAATTACTACTTCAGAGATAATATTGCAGATAACTGAGTGGAGAAGCACTGGAATGGGATGATCTTTCCAAAATCACTTTATTCTCCAGTTAATCTGGTATGTCATTGGGTTTAGACTTGCATTAGGAACTACAGGTGCTGATCTGCTGTGGAGGCTTCGAGAAGACTCCTTGGGTGGCCACAGCAGGGCTGTTCAAACATGATTGGAATCTCTCTCCTACCAGGAACTGTGTGTTAGTAACCACATACACTCACAGTTTCTCTCCTAATTTCCTTAAAAAGGTAATTTTTCAAGGAAAAACCAGTTACCAACTGGTTTCTTCTTGGCTAAGAGACGCCTCTGTGTCATACTGGTGGTAACTGCTTCAGATTTGGAGCCTGTGAGTAAAACTGTAGTTAGTGCCTGTGGTAATCATTTAAGTAGTAAATGCAAATTTTTATTGCAACAGAAAAATTGAATCCTAACTGCAAGTAGTGGCAATTGAAGAGTCTCCTGGTTGAAAGCCCAGTTTTTCCCCTTCCTTCCCACAGCCCTGCAGATGAACTAGTACTTGACGTTCAAACAAGGCACATACTTATTAATCAGGAAATAATCTTGCATTGGATGGAGGGTTATTGTAACATGTACAAAGGGTTTAACACCAAGTTTACTATGGGCTCCTCAAAGCTTGGGGTAAAGCCAGGACATTTTTGTCTGCTAGAAAAATGAACTTAATCAGGATTGGTTGTTCCAGAATCTCAGAATGGTTTGGATTGGAAGGGAACTTAAAACCCATCCAGTCCCACCCCTGCCATAGGCAGGGACACCTTCCACTGTCCCAGGTTCCTCCAAGCCCCATCCAGCCTGGCCTTGAACACTGCCAGGGATCCAGAGGCAGCCACAGCTTTTGTGGGCAACCTATCATTGGAATTACCTTGTTTAACACCTGGATAGACTTTGCCCTCTGTGGCTCAGCCTCAGTGTAGATTCCATTCCCTAGCAACGTGGGCAGCAGAGCTCTGCTCGCAGTGCCCAGTAGGTTTTGGGATGTGGGTGGGACAGAGCAGAGGCTCTCAAGCTCCACAACTGCAGTTCAAGAATGTTATTCTTGGTTTTTATGAAGAATGTGTTACAATTTCTTGCAAGACCACACTGAGACCTTGGAGGGTTGCTGGTCATCATAACTGGATGGTGTGGACCTGTCCCACCTAAGGCTGCAGTGGGTTTACAGCACTGCAGAATTGGTGTCAGCCCTAGATTTGCATTTCTGGAAGTTCCTTCTTAATCTGGTCTTCTTTGAAGTGATCTCACTCTGCAGTGGCTGTGTCCTGCTATGAACTTCCAGAAATGCATCTTCCCCAGGCACTGACTGGGGAGGAGATTTTCCCTCACCTGCATGTGTTGAAGGATCATAAATCAGATGGTAATTAAGGATGGTAAATCATGATGCAATTGCTCCTGTTCATGATGGTACCTTCCCCCTCCCTTAGTGGCCAAAGGGTTTTTTGCCGGGGCCACATTTCTGCTATTCCTCTATGTTTTATTATGAGACAACTGAACCTTAAAACGCTTTGTGTGTCCAGGTCAAGAAAGTCACTGTCCCATCTTCTGAGAGACAGGTTGGTGGGCTTGAGGTAAAGCTGCTGCTCTGATCTGTGCTTCTGAACCAGACTTGCTATTGCAATGGCACCGAGCAAAACTCAACAGCAGCTGCTGGATAACATTTTCTTTTGGCTACATGAAGTAGATTCATAACTCACAGCCAGAGGATTTTGGCACTGCTGCAGCTTTTGCAGCTTTCAATTTTTGTTTATTTTGATGCATGGCTGGTTTGAAAAAGCTGCATGACCGATATAACCGTGTATTCGGAGACAAAAGCAATTCTGAAAATTTAACTGTTCCCTGTTCTTTTTATGTTGTCTTTCTTCCCGTTTTTTGGTTGTTTCTTTTTTCTTTTTGGTTGTTGTTGTTTTAACGATCATGTTACTCTTGCATTTTATATTTTCTTTTGCTGCCCAGTCTCCCAGCTACTTTCTCCCAAATTCTCACCACTTAGGGGTGTGCAAAGAACCAGTCCCAAAATACCGCACTGACCAGCGGAGGTTGGCTCAACTGAGGGAGCTTAGAGCCAAGTTTTTCCTCTCCTAAGTACACTTGGGTTTGACCAGGGCTGGTAAACTAAAGGGATGCAGAGCTACTGAACAGCAACATTCCCACAATCTTTCATTTCTTCAGCAGAAGTGCTGAAGCCCTTGCATGGACCTGTGAACTGATTTACTCATTCTGGGATTTTATCATTCTTTAGACTCCAGAAACAAAAATGCTAAAACATGGAGTAAAATTCCAGGAGTCTGCACTGCTCCTACTGCCACCCTGCTCGTTCCATGCTTGGGATTTCTAAGATCTGCAGTTTTTCACTTGTTCATTAGAATTTTCAAACCAATTGTAATTTTGATACTCTGGTCAGAACTTTGGAAAAGCATTTTGTATCTGCTCTGCAGTCTGGCTGTTCCATGGGAGTATCCAAATGCTGGGTTTTAAGGGCACTGTAGATAAGGAAGCTGTCAGAGACCACATTTTGTGCTGCACAATTCCTGTTTCAAATGCCTCAAGCTTTTTTCTCACCATTCCAATTCCAAAACACTCTGGAATATTTGGGGCATCCTCTTTTCTAGGAGAGCAGACACCAAACACCCATGATCCTGATGCAGATGTTGATGAGCTCTGCAGAGAGAACATGGTTCTGTAGCTCCAGGGCTGGTGTGACCCAGGCCACCAGCGGCTCTGCTCCCCAGGGCAGTTTATTTTATGTTGAGAATAGTTGCCCTAACGCTTTGCACATCTCCAAGTGTCATTTTGGGCACTTTCCATCTGTCATTTTTGTTCATCTCTCTCTTTCTTGATCTTCTACCACGAAAGCAGACATGGGAACAACCTCTGTTAGTACAGGATGAAGACAAACTAAAAAAGCAGGAGATACCTACTGAGACAGCCTTTCCCCGGCCAGCAAGTGAAGCAACTCCTCCAAAGGTTTCTATTGCAATCCCTGAAGAGCAGAAATCACTCAAAAAGTGTCACCTGTACTCTAGCCTTTTTCCTTCTCCACGCATACCCTTTATGATGTCCTTTCTCCTGGTCATAGCACTGACTGTTTGGTGGCTGCTCTTTCTCTGAGTGGCAACAGGGTCATGTTGAAACCTCAAGACCAAAGCTCCTGAATTTCTTGGCTGTATTCTCTGCTGCATCTTCCTTGTCCTGGTCTTTGATCTCCATAGTTCGCTGTCCCAGGGAGGGACACCCTGTGACTCTTGTGTTAATCCTGCTCTATGTCCTTGTGTGGCTGTGATGGGACCTGGTAGGAGTGGTTGTGGATTTCCAGGTCCAGTCTGAAGTTTCCTGTGGTGCAAAAGCAAATTCTTTGAACTGTGTTCCCAGCTGCTGTGGGAGGACAGATGGGGGGAGAAAATCATGGGAGAAGAGTCTGGTTTCCCAAGCTCCTGAAAGACTTCCCATAGGAATTGCTGTAGAATTGCTTTTAAGTTTGTTGTTTTAAATGTAAGATATTCACAAGCTGAAGAACATTTGACACTGATGTAAAAGGGGCTTTACAGGAATCTCCTGAATTACAGAATCCTGGAATGGTTTGGGGTTGGCAGGGCCCATAGAGATGATCTCGTTCCACCCTTTGCTATGGGCCGGGAACCTTCCCCTGGACCAGGTTATTGCAAGTCCCATCCAACCTGGCCTTGGACTCTTCCAGGCATGGGAGTCCACTGCCTCTGTGGGCAACAAGAGGTTGACTCTCTAGGAAGAATATTGGAATCTAATCCGTAACCACTCAATTTCTAGGAAACTCAGATTGGCATTTAAATAAAAAGTGCTGGTTCTCACTGCTGCTCTTGGTAATAACTTAGGGACAGGGTCAGCTTTTCACCTTTGACAAAGTACCCCAGCTTCCCTCTCCACCATATTCTCACATCTAAGAAAATACATAGTGTTATAGGAGAAAACCCATTGCAAGGAGATATTTATTGTAAACATAGAGTAATAATTTTTTTTTTTAATCTGATGGTCTTGGTGCACTTGGGATGTGTTTAATAATGTGGAACTAACTGACGCATGTTTGCTCAGGTCATAAGGATGGAGTTACCTGCTATTTGAGCATTCCCTCTGTTGGCATGTTGGCTTGGCCACATCAGGACACACTTCTAATGTTAAACCCCTCGATTGTTTTTGACTTCTTTAGCCAAACCGTTGCATGCTGGTCGTTGTTTATTGCCCACAATGTAAGTGTCTGGATGATGCTCTCATTTAGCCAAGTGATTCTGGCTGAGCTGTGCGGCTCCAGCCCAGCTGGACTGAGCAGAGCTGGTTTGTAAGCTGGAGGGAAGGTGGGACTTTGTGTCTAAGGGGTTTCTTTTCTGTAAATAGTAGCGATGGGGCTGAGCTGAGCTCCCCATTTCTCCTTTCAGCACTAATCCGTGTTCTCCTGTGTCCATTGGAGGACTGGGCTGGACACAGTCACTTTGAGAACACCCCCCAGTGTCACCAGTGGTGGCAGCTGCTCCAGAAGCATGGAGGAGAAGGGAGCAAGCCTTTATTACATGGATTAAAATGTGTGAATATATATAAATACCTGTATTTATAACCCTTTCTAGACCTCTGTCTGTGTGAACAGTGTTATTTAGGAAGCTAGCAGATAAGCTTGAGGGAATAAGGCAAGCATGGCATGTGCTGTTTGATCTGAGGGTCTGTGGGATATCATAGACCACTCAAGTCACCTCTTGCGCTCGATGTACAGGTTGAGGTTCTAAATGCTGTCTCAGAAACTTAGGTTGCTAGTGAAACCCTTTGTTTTAATCGCACAGGAATCTTTCCAATTCCTCTTGTAACTGCTCCAATTAGTTCACCAGTTTGTGCCTTTAGGACTTTGTTTTGTGAGGATGCTGATTTTTCATTGGAAAATAATCTTCCCTTTTTAATACACTGCCTTTAATACACAGTCTTCCTCCTTTGGTACTAGGAAGTGTAGAAGTCTGAGGGTTGTTGTCCAGGCATAGTCTGGTGTGAAGGAGGGTGTTGGCAGGCTGCGGCCCTGAATCCTTGGAGCATCCCTTGGAATGCACTTGGACTCCAGCGGATTTGGTGTGAAGTTTAGGAAGACAGAGGTGGGCCCTGGAGAGGAGAAATGGAGGAGGATGCTGGGGTGCCATGTGCTGTGCAGAAAATGCAGGATGGAAGAAGTCAGGGGATACTTGTGGATGGCATTCCCTGCCTGCATCTCCTTCCCAAAATGTTAACAGTTGTGATGAAGAACAGGGATTGTTTGTTCTCCCTAAACTGGCGTGAAGAGGGAGGAAACAGGAGTTGTTTGGATCTCTCTGTCAGTTTTCTGTCCGTATTTCCTGGAGGTTGAACACACAGGTGCTTCCTTCCCAAAGCCATTGCTCAGGATCACTGCTTGGGATGCTGCAGTGAGCACTGCTGAGTTTACTGCATTTCTGATCCAGTGACAAGAACTTGGAAGCCACACTGCTGGCTTTGGCAAAGCCATGGTTTCTGTACCTCTGTCACCCATTTACAAAGGACCTGAAGTCTTTCACCCAGAGCAGCCTTAGACCGGAGTGCTCAGGGTGTCTCCTCTCAGCAGGATAAGAGATGGGCTCTGTCACCTCTACTCAATTCTGTAACTCTTTAATTCAAATGGTCTCTTTCTTTCTTTTTTAATCTTGAGGTAAGGCTGGTTGTCATCAGCAAAAAACTTCAGAAACTTTACACTCTGACAATGCTCAGGAACATTTTTGGGATTTATGTACCAATTATCACTGCAGAGTATAAAGAAATTGAACAAATGCTTTCTGTTTCTCTGGCAGTTTAGAGGCCAGTTATCCATATTCATCCAGGTAGATGTGATCCCTCCTGACAGAGGAAACCGTACCAGGAACAGAAACCTCATCTGTCCAATGCCCCAGGGATGTGCCCACTGGGCTACAGCCTCTTTCCCAGTCGCTCCTCTGCTTTTTTCCATTTGCTTGTGATGCAAAGGGAGTGACAGTCCATGGCAATCCACGTAAGGTCTCATTCCTGCATGTCTGTGCACATTCCGTATCTTTTACACCTTGGTGCTGTGGTTTCCCCCTTTTCCTGTGGTGTCAGCAAAGGTTGCAGCACCGAGAGGAGGATTTTGTGAATCCTGCTGTCATCCCTGCGCACAGGGAGAGCTGATTGGCTCTAGTGCTGTTTAAGGGCTGAGATCCCAAGGGATCTGTAAAGGAACCAATACATGTACTCTGCTCCTATTTTCCTCAGGAACAAACTTGGTGGAAAGACCAGCAGCTCCTGGCTGCCTGCCCCGACACCAGCACCCATTGACACAGGGATTCACACACCCTGTTCAGCCTGGCTGGTGCAGTGCCAGGCTGTGAGTGATGGAGAGCTGAGTTATCCCTCTGGCAGGGAAGCTGGAAATGTCTGCAGCATGTAACCTCATCCAGGTTGGCATGACAAATCCTGTTTTTTCAATGTGACCTGTTGCAGAAAATGGCATTTTGGTGACTGGCACGCCGGTGACATAGGCAGGATAAGTCTACCAGCAGTTTTACCCAGTGTTTTGTGGTGTGGTCACTGAGCTCTT